CTAGCACTGCCCGCGGCTCCGCCCGCATTCAGATGACCAAAAACCAAATTCTTAGGTTTTACATATTAGTATACTCATACATTGCAGATTTTGTATTTTTTCTCAGAAATGAAACATTTTCCCGCGGTAAAAAGTATCCTATATGTTGACCCGGATAACCAGCTATCACCCTACTAAATTTCATCAAAATCCCTCAACTGGTTTTTCTGTGCTGCGGTAACAGACAGACAGACAAAAATCCTAAAAACTATAGATTCGGCCTCTGTATCGATAATAATGTTAATTTCAATAGGATTTTCCAAAAAATATTTAATGTACAGATTCGGCTTAATTACAATTTTATTATATGTATAGATTAAAATAGCGAAACTTCACACATGCTATGGTAATAGTGTTTCGTAGCTATTTGATTACATTGTGGTATAACTTAAATCTACTACAGCAAATAGGTTTCCAGTAAGTTATTTCATCCAAAGGATAATTTCATAAAATGAACGTCTATTTTATTATATTACAATTTTACGAACTTACTTACCTATACCTTCATTTATATTCACAACCTAATTACTAGTTATTGTAAATATAATAAAGGCCGAGCTCTAATAAAATAAATCACAGAAAAAAGTTTTTTTTGTTATTGCATAAAATATTATCTACATATTATAAAGTTTTACTCATAAACGTCGCAATAATATAAATGGCTTTGTTAACCTACAGTTACACCACATAGAGTAAGAACTAAAATATTAAGAAAGTTTTAGAAATTAAAACTAACTACATAACTTCAAATTTAAATGAGATCACTCAATTCAAGGCAGCGTATTCAATATATTTTTATTAAAATATTTGAGTAACTGGCAAAGTTATTGCGCAAGGCAAAAAAAAACAACCAAAGGAATCCTTTATGAAGTCACTTAAAAATAACCACTACAAAGATATTAAAAAAATTTGCTTGATAAAAACTTTTATCAGGACATATCGTTCTAAATGGTTTATACATATTAGTATACTACAAAATGTCGGGGTCTACGTTTTCCTGAGGAGAGGAAAGGTATTATATCATCATCTTACCATGCAATTTTTAATTACAATCTGTGTTTAGAATATTACGGAACAGTAAGTCAAATTAATTTTATTATACCTACGAGTATGTAGCAGAAAGATGAAGGAAAAAATTGTAAGGAAACCTGCATGTTTAAGGATCGAGGAGGAGGAAGGATTGCTAGATCTTACGAAAACTTGCTAGGCTTAAACCCGGACTTCACATAACGTCTTTTTTGGGATTTGGCCTATGTAGTGAACGGTTTTTCATACACCCCCCTCATATTAATAAATTATTTAGCTAAATAACTACGTTAGTAGAGAGATCTACATACTAGGTTTTCTTTATAAAAAAACTCATCGGATGTGTTCATTTTAATTTTCTTAAAAAAATAAATGGCTCGAAAAGGATTTTGTGTCGTAGAGCCTTGCTGGTGTGAGCCGGAATGTAGAGTCATTTCCTTTCCGTACATCCCTTATAGATGACCTTAGCGATGACATTTTATGGCATGATATGATTATTGCTTATTATCAGGCAGACTATAATAATTAATACTAAAAACTGCAATATTAATATAAATTGTACTTTTTTTATTTTTTTTTATTTTATTTATAAAGCACACTAACAATACACATATAAAACATTTCTGATAATCTTATTAGTAATATAAATTAACTACCTGATATGTATATCTATAACAAGTGTACATAGCGTTCACTGTAAACAATAGTTAAAAGTAAGAAAAGTGAAAAATTAATTACTACCTAAATTTAAATTATTATGTATTTTTTTTATTAAAGTAATCTAATAGCCTACGTCTAAAAACAGAGGGTGAATCGTGAAAAATGTCAATGCTTGGTATCGATTTCTGAAGGTTATTATATTTAGCACAGATACGTAAAACAGGGGCTTGGCTACCCAGGTTAGATCTCACTCTAGGTATGAAAAATATATGATGGACCTTGTTCCTAGGATTTCTGGAGGGGACAGATATTGAAATACTTTCCATTAAATCTGGGCTCAGAACTTGATTGTGTATAATGTTATGTAAAAATCTTAAGTCAAGAATTTCGCGCCTATCACGGAGAGATAGAATATTGAACTTATCCAATCTTTCGCGATAAGGCTGTCTGTGAGAGAGATTCTCTTCATAGAATGCAAGATATCTTGTAAAAGTGCGTTGGATGCTCTCAATGCGTTGGGAATGAACACTATACAAAGGATTCCAAACCACACTAGCGTATTCAAGACAACTGCGTACCAATGCGTTGAATAAAACAATTTTTGTTGCCCTACTGAAACCATGTGCATTCCGCTTGATAAAACCTAGAATTTGTGCGGCTTTATGGATAGTTTTATCAATATGCGAGATAAAAGTTAAACGGCTGTCAATAGTGACTCCTAAATCTTTGATCTCAGATACTTCTTTCACTAATTCGTTTCCGATAGTATATTTAGACACAAGTGGTTTTTTTTTTCGAGTAAATTTAATGTGAAAACATTTGCTAACATTAAGAGTCATATGATTATGGCGGCACCATTCGGTGATATTATTAAGGTCATCCTGGATCAAATTTATGTCATCACTTGATGTGATCGTTTTATATAATTTAAGATCGTCCGCAAATAATGAGCATTTACAGTACTTAATATTTTCGGTTATATCGTTTATAAAAACAAGAAACAATAGAGGTCCCAAATGTGAACCTTGCGGCACCCCACTTTTAGCAAAATATGTTTCCGATTCAAATCCTGTGACATTGGCGGTTAATGGTCTTTGAGTAAGATATGATTTAAACCATTTAACTAAAGAAATCCCCAGTCCATACTGATATAGCTTATCAAGAAGTATTTTATGGTCCACTTTGTCGAAGGCACTACTAAAATCAGTGTATATGGCATCAATTTGTTCCCCCTTATCCATCGCTAACGCCAAGTCAGAAACCAACACGACTAGGTTTGTTTGGGTTGATAACCCAGTTCTAAACCCATGCTGTAAACTAATGAAGATATTATTGAAGTATTTAGCAAGTTTGGGATATATTAAACTTTCAAACACCTTTGAGAAACATGACAAAATGGATATAGGGCGGTAATTTTTAATGTCTGATCGATCTCCTTTTTTATGGACTGGTACAATACGCGTCTTTTTCCATTCATCTGGAAAGATACTTTCCTTTATGGAGCGATTGAAAATTTGCGACAAAGGAAGAGCCAAGGCAGAGCCGCATCTTTTAACAAAATGAGGGGGAATTCCGTCCGGGCCTGCACCTTTTAGGGGGTCTAAGGATTTAATTTTTTTAAGGACTTCTGTTTCTTGGAATTTTAATTTCTCCATGCCAAGAACCTTAACATTAATTTCTTCCAGTGGGACGCTAGAGGTATCTTCGGTGTAAACAGAAGAGAAATGACTTGCGAAAAGATTAGCTATGTCATTTCCCGTATTACCTACTTTGCTATCTAAGACCATAGAAACAGGCAACGAAGACTTAACTTGTCTTTTGTTTTTATAGAAATTCCAAAAAGAGGTTGGATTTTTTGAGATGTTATTTTCGATGTTTTTTTTGTATTCGCTGTAATAAACATCAAACAGATGATGACAACGACTGCGCAAAAGTTGGAATTCTAATTTATCACGTGGATTTCCATATTTACGATATTTAGCATGCATTCTATCTTTAGCTTTTAATAATTTGATGAGGTTGTGTTTAAACCAAATAGGGTACTTAGAATTGTATTTCTTACGCTTTGGAACAAGTCGGTCTATTACTTCGAACAGTACATTATAAAATATTTCGACCATAGCATTGACATTTTCACAATTAATAAATTTACGACACCAATCAATTTTCTTAAGTTCACACAAAATGGGTTCGTAATCAGCTTTATAGAAGTTATAACTATTACAAGCCTTCGGACGCAGGTAAGATATATTAGGGTACGAGATATTTATTAATAAATTTGGATGATACAAATCTAATTTGCTTAATGTATCGAGTGGTCTAGTTACGCATGTATTTGCTATGTTGGTGATGACCAAGTCCAAAAGACCATTGTTGCAATTTTTAATGTTATTATATTGATAGAGTTCATTTGTCGACAGGAAATCTATTAATGAGTAACCAAGTACGTTATTATAATTAGATGGAGTCATATACGTACAACTATCACTATTATTCCAGTTTATAAAACTCATGTTAAAATCTCCTACTATAACAACATCATCGACTTGGTTAGTCACTATATCCACTGTTTCAAGATACTTTACCAATTTTTCTATTTTAACAGGTGGTGACATGTAAACAACACAAAGGCCAATTTTTTTAATAGATCGATTACCAGTAACGTCCACTACAATCCATATGTTTTCGTCATCACTTTCCCAGTGAGTCATTCGGTACGATGAAATGTCACGAGATACAGCAATTAGCACACCACCACCATCTTTTTTTGAGTTCTCTGAACACGCACGATCCTTCCTGTACACAACGTAACGGGAGTCGAATATTTCATTACTAGAAATCGTCGAGTTCAGCCAAGTTTCCGTGAGTGCAATAATTTTATAATCCGAATTAAGTATATTTTTAAACACATCATTAGTTTTTGTTCTTAAGCCTCTAACATTTTGATAGTATATATCTAACATTGTATCTATGAAACTACCGTAACTTTTTTTGTAACTAAGAGATTTAATTTATAAGTTTGAGACTATCTTCGTTTTTAATTAGTTTGGCTTGACTGAATTCATCCTTGCGTACAAAAATTTTGCCGTTTCTTATCCAGGTGAAGCGATAATTCATTTCTTTAGCTTTAATGCGAGCGGCAGCATGGAGTGATTTGCTTGCTGGTGTTAAATGCTCTGATACGTAAATGGGTTTACATGCTCCGCCAATCCCGAGATGGTGGGAGTTCAGCTTCTCATTGGGATTTTTTTTGTTGAATTGGACGACGGCTGCTAGGACGGCATCACGATGCCTAGAGCTACGTAGCTTAACAATGACAGAGCGTGGTTTTTCCGCATTCCTGTTAAGGCTACTCTATTTGCATGAAGTATCTCGTCTGTCGTCATTGGACAATTAATAATCTGACTTAGTTGCACTACTGTATTGGCTAAATTTTCACTTCTATTTTCTGGTATGCCATTGATCTCAATGTTGCTTTCTCTCATATGTACTTCAACATTATTTAATCTCGATGCAAAATCTTTAATAGAAGTCTTAAGTTGATCGTTCTCTTTTCTTAATTGATCCACCATATTCGACTTTTCTTCCAGTTTGGATTTCATTTCTTCATATTGTGCATTAATAAAATTTATTGACTCACAAAAACCAGATATCTGATTATTAATGGTATTGAGCTGGCTAGAAACTAATTTTTGTATTGTAGAAGCTAACTCTTGTTGAATGATGTCACGCAATTTGCTTTCCGTTAAATCGAAATCATTGTCCTTACATTTTGAAGTGATATGAGGCGGCGACTTACTTGGTTTCTTGCGTGTTGTTACGTATGACACTTCGGAGGTATCAGTACAAATTTTGTTTTCGCCACTAACTACAGCGGACCTTACAGGTGTATGAATGTTTCCCATTTTGGGTTGTTTATTTAAACATTCTGGGCACTTCCAATTGCTTTTGTGTTGCGAATCCATCTGTTGAAACTGTCGCAAAGGAACATTGCCACATTCGTTATCATATTTTGCTTTGCAGATAGCACAAGTAAGATATTCTTTTCTAGGCAGAGTGTTATTTCATCCCGCACAAACGGTACTTGATATTGTAGACATCTTTTACGAGTTGAAAATTAAATTTTAATAAATCAAAAAATCTTTAGCCAGCTACTGAGACGCGAACTTGGTTCTGTCGGTAAATTCTATTGCAATTCTGTCTATAGCTTCCTGCGCTACGACTCAACTAGATGTAATAGCGAAATTACTGTATTGTTCTAGCGCAGTGATGATTTTTGTGTAGTGATAGGCAAATAAATGTTCAAATAGATAACCCTCCACGCACTTATTTTTTTATAAAACGTTTTTGATTAATACTATTGTTTTTCTATAAATACGTTATACACCATTGTGAACACAGTCGGCACCAATTTAGATCGTAAAATGCATAATAAGTATACCATATAATACTTTAGACTGTTTAGAAAATAATGTAATCAAATACTGAGATAACACTATAACTTCATTATCAGCGATATAGAAGGGTTTTAAAACGGAAATATTATCACTATTATATACTTTTAACTATTAAATCGTATTTTATTTAGGGAGCTGCGCTAAGACTTCTTAACACATCTACCCGCCGAATATATAATAAGATTAAAAAAAAGATTCCAAAATTAACAAAATGGAAAACTAAAAACATTTTGTTGTTAAATATCTTTTGTTTAAAATATAAATCAAGCTTAGATTCTATATTCAGTGGTATAACTGACGCTAAAACACAAATGCAAATGACTGACGGTCACTACAAGAAAAATCCATCGCAGCGTAGTGATTTGTCACGTGATCAACATTTTTAATAATCAGATGAAAACAACTCTGTTTTTCTCATTTTATTCACTTTTAGTGTAACAGACACAGTGAAAAAAAAGAAATTGTAAGCTTCGTTTCAATATAGAAAATATTTTTATTAAATATTTCATAATACCTCTACCTATTTTTTTATGGCTATAGAGTACCGGTTTTGGTCAATTGTGATATATTTATACCTATAAAAGAATTCTTTTATAACTGCTCCCTAATATTAAAAATCTTTGTATTTTGTATTAAAAATACTTTATGTATTGTATTAAAAATACAAAAGTATATTATTAGTTGGTGTGTTAATTAATTTGTGTAATAATGACATTAATTTTGCAATGACGTTTTGTGGTGTTGAATATTTTTCAGCAAAATGTTTTATGATTGTGAGATAACTTTTACAATTAAATAAAAATGTTCAAATATTTTACCTACTAACAGCGGATAGCAAAAGAATGCAGAATTAATTTTTTCCTAAAACTTTTGGCCAACTCCAATTTTTCATAATATTTATTAATAGGACTGTTTTTTTCATATACTATAACTAGCGACTCACCCTCGCTTCGCTCGGGTTTATCCCTAGGTTTCTTCCCCACACAAATTTTTATCCCCATTTTCACCTCCTTGAAGGATAATTTCCGGGATAAAACTATCCTATGTCCTTCCCAAAGTCTCAAACTATCTTGTTACCGAATTTCATCTAAATCGGTTCAGTAGTTTCGGAGCCTATTCGGCACAAGCAAACAGACAAACAAACAATCAAACAAACAAATCTTTCTTCTTTATAATATTAGTATAGATATCGTGAAAAATATGTTTTTTTTTTAAATATAAGTAACAAATGTGTAATATAAGTTAGGCCTTTTTGAGAAAAAAACATTTTTCAGGTAGGTATAGTAGAGTAAATGTCACAAAGTATTACTTTAAACAAAGGAATGTCCAAAATTAGGTTTTCGTTGGAACGCAATGGACGACAGTTGAAGACAGAAGAAGCAATATAACGTTCTTTTACTTAACAGGTAGAAGCAAGGAAAATGAAAATATTTAAATACTAAGAATCGCTTGTATGTTACTGCCAAAACATGTGCGAGGCAATTACTGAGCCTAATTTCAACCATACCCATTTATTGCAAATTCGGTAATCATGTATGTATGGATTATGCCACATATGTAGATGGTTTAAGGCTATTTATTTTTTTATTCTATACACTCTTCATCGTTGTATTTATTTATTTTCATGTTTTTTTCTGTCCCATAAAGACCAAAGATGTTTACACTTTTTATTCATTGTTTTTTATATAAGGTAAATATTTAATTTATATGCAAAAAAACCTAAATATACATTAAGGGCTCTGAAGACCAAAATAAACATTTACGTACGCCCAGCGCAGTGAAAGGGTGACGGCTAGTATTAGTATACCTATATTTATATATCCCACTGCATGAATGCGCGAGACACGCAAATAATAGAGAGGAGTGGAGGCGAATAGTCGAACGGGTTACAAGACCTATATGATGATCACGACCAGTCTGTCAAGATTGTAACGACTAAGAAGAAGATATTTATATAGCGTTTTCTTACGGATCTGCCCGCCACATTAAGTTTTAAAGAATTCTTCCGCTTTTGTAGATCTAGTATAATGTAAACTAGCCTATACTTTTCTCTGTAAATAAGTTATAAAACGCAAAAAGTGTTTTTGAAATCGGCTTAGTAGATCTAGAGATTACTGTGTTCAAAACAAGCAAACAAACTTTTCAGGTCTTATGTATTAATTATACATAATTCGGGTAAAGCCACTCGCAAAGCATAACCAAAGAAAATTAATTTGGCATGCAAAATTGCCTACAATTTCTTACAGCAAATGCTATTTACTGGTACACTTACAAGCTAAGATTATTTTTCATGTTCTTCCAAGCTTTTAAATTAGATTATCGTTGAGGATAAATCTAGGTCATAACATAATTTCTTTTTACATAAATACCGCAACAATGCAAGTCAACTAAAGTACCTAGAGAGAAAATAAGATATCATTATTAGCTCATATACCTACTGCTTGCTTTTATAAAATAAAAAAAAATATTTAAAAAAACCGACTACTTAAAAAGCTAACTAAAAAGATGAGAACAAGTTGTGTTAATATTATGCAGTGCAGCAAAATGGTCCGACACGGAACTCGAACCCAGGAACTCTGGATATGCAGCCGTACAAGTTAGCCACTACACCATTGAGGCAGGCATCTGTACTGTACATATCTATACATATAATAAAATTGTAACTAAGTCAATCTGTACATTAAATATTTTTTGGAAAATCTCATTAAAATAGACATTATTGTCGATTTATTCGATACAGAGGCTGAATAATTTGAATTTATATAATTATTTTTTGAATTTCAATAATAATTTTTTGAATTTTTGTCTGTCTGTCTGTTTGTGTCTCTGTGACCGCATCACGGAAAAACCACTGGAGGGATTTTGATGAAATTTGGTATGATGATAGCTTATTATCCGGTTTAACATATAGGATACTTTTTATCGCGTTAAAACATATTATTTAGGGACGAAACCGAGCGGAGCGAGGGTGAGTCGCTAGTATATTATTATGTATAATATATGGCTTCCTTTTCAGAATTGACACATTATGTAATATTTTTATAGTGTGACATGTAGATACAATGTGGGATGTTTACGTTAATTACCTAATTTAAATGTACGATAATTACGAACGATATATTGATGCTAGAAAAAATTTAACAGGAGTATTTGATAGCGAAAATTATCCCGATTAAATTAGCTTTCAAATATCTAATAAAAAATGTATACCTATTCAACTACTAACAGTAGTCGAATTTAAAACATTAGAGAAAATAGAATGTCTTATAATATTCGTATCGTATTCAGCCCTTTTTAAACGTCTAACTATTGGTAAGGGGTCTCCCTTTATAACAAGGGGGATTCGACCATAGTCAACCACGCTGGCTGGCGGGTTGACGGATTTTACGTGTTTCGAAAATTTGCTAGGTTCTAAACAAGATGTTTTCCTTCAAGGTAAGACAAGTGGTAATCATGTTTAAAATGGTTCGCATATGAAAATATCAGTGCAAGACCCGGGATTTGAACCCGCTTTACTCGATTTCCCAAACAAGCGATTATCTTATAGTGATATAACATAATTCCTTATTTCATTATACAAAACGTGGACGGGGTTTTAACAACATAAGACATTTTATTTCTAAAAATCGCCAGCTAAAGTGCGGAAAATATAGCTATAAGTACTTTGTTTTAGTATGGTATAACAGTTCTATATATCAATATTTTCACCCGTTAGGAGTATTAAGTGAACACGTTCCATCAAAGGTAACACTGAATATTTGAGGATAGTTTACTTAGCAAGCTGATCCCATTGTTCTGTCCACTCAATTATATCTAACGACTTCCTTAATCAACCCTGAGTATTAAAATCGTCTGCACACTACGAGTTTTACGATAGCTGTCTGACGACTCAATTAAAAAAACGAAAACCTATCTATCCCATAACGAAAAAATGAGTAGGGAGCTGTACTAAAAGTAACTTAGTACGTAGTATTTAATAATAAATTAAAAAAAAATAGGATTGATATCAATATATTTATGCATAAGAGATAAAAATATCTATCTATTGATTTTTAATTTAAGTGGCAAGATAAAAAAATACAGTGTCATGAAGGCAGTGGACTTACGCAGGCTGGTTATCATGAAGATGATGATGAAAAAAGGTTTTTTATAGATTAACTCGTAAATCGTAATTGCTAATATCACTAGTTTGTAGCTTTTAAATAAATATAGTCAATGTGTTATTATCAGTGTTGATTTCTTCAAGGTTCACTAGTAGTTCAATTCCTATAAATATTAAAAGATTGAATCATCAGACATTGCATAAAAAAATATTGTTTAAGCTTATGCCAATAAAGCCCTTTCATACGATATCCCACATGACACGGTTAACTCAATTCAATATTTGGACTATCATGTCGCGCCATTCCTGGCATAAAGACCCTGTTTTTTTATGATTTAATTACAAATGTATACTTTTCAGATTTTTCCCTATATTGTAGTATAAGATGGTATTACATGTCAAATTT